ATCTCACCTAGTCCTGACTTAGGGCCTGGCCTCTCTCACCCTTCTCCACCCCCATGCAGTCCCTGGCCCAGCCCTGATGCCCTTCACCCTCAACTTCACCATCACCAACCTGCGATACATGAAGGACATGCGACCAGGCTCTGCCAAGTTCAACTCCACAGAGTCAGTCCTACAACGGCTGGTGAGGCCCTCCCCACCCATCCCTCTTTTCCAACTTCTCCCCCACCCTCGCTGAGTCTCCCTGCTATACATTCTGGGGATTTGGAGTGCTTAAAATCATGGACTTAATAGGCAGGCAGCTCCAAATTCAAAAATTGGCACTCTTACTGACAAGCTATGTGACATTAGACTTGTGACTTTGCCTTTTGGTACCTATTTTCTCATCTGTAAAAACAAAGTAATAAAAGCACTTATCTGAAAGGATTGTTTTTGAGAATTAAATGAGGTATTGAGTAGATCAGGAAGTTGTTTTATTAAAAGTATTTACTGTTTTGAAAATATGTGTAATTTTACATTCATTTTCATTCACCCACTCCTTCCTCCTCAGCTCAAGCCCTTGTTCACCAACAGCAGCATTGGTTTCCTCTACACTGGCTGCAGACTGACCACACTTAGGTGAGAGCTCCCCTCTGTCCTCCTTCAGGAGGGGTAGTGAGATATGAGCTGGTTGGGCTGGGTAGGGCCTGGACCAGGGTGAGTCAGGCATAGGAGGAAGTTATGGACTATGTGGCTAATTGCCTCCATGAATAACTGCCCCCTTTGCCATGAGACCAGAAGAACTGGATCATGCCTTGTTACCATTAATGAACATTTTGATCAAAGATTCTCTAGAAGAATCCTGTTCAAAAGAGGGAATATGCTGAACAGAATTTCAAACTCTAATGGAATCTAAGTAGTTCTGGTAGCATAGTGGCTAAGGCATTTGACTGCTAACCAGAAGGCTGGCGGTTCAAACCCATCAGCCACTCCTCGGAAGGAAGGTTGGGCAATCTACTTCCATAGTGATACTGCCTCAACAACCCAAGGAGGGGTCGCCATGAGTTGGGGCCAACTCGATAGCACATAACAACAACAACAATGGAATCTAACATTTATGGGGTCATGGACGCTGGATAATCCCCTGAATCTGTCTTCTTTCATCACAGCATGTCAGGTCAAAGTCAACTTAATGGTTATTTATCACATTCTTCACATACTTCTGTGTTTCTGTGTCTAGTTCAGAAATTTTCTAAATAACTTTTTCACGGCTTACAGTTTTTAATGACTTACAGTAAATGTCAGAGAACCTCACAAATGTAGACATATTTCTGTTTTTGAGTTCATATTATGAGTGCTTATACATATGCACTGTGAAAGCATAATAGTTACCTATACCTTATGAGATTTGAGATCATTATAGAAACATACAAAACCCAGAGATAAGCTCAGTTACCAAGGTCCCTGTACTCTAGGCACCAAAATCTATAGCTTTCTGCCAGGTATTGATGCTCATTCAAAGTCCTCCCAAATAAGATGCAAGTTATTTACACCAGAGGCAATGTCACCAGGCAACACAACTGCCATTGCACCATTATCAGGTGTCTAGGATGAGAGCTAAGGTGTGAGGATGGTGTACGACTGGGCAGGGTTTCATTCTGTTGTACATAGGTTTGCTATGAGTCGGAGCTGACTCAATGGCACCTAACAACAACAGCAACAGGATGAGAGCTAGAAACAGCTGAACTCTCTCAGCTCAGAAGGTCACAATCACCCTGCAGAATTGCAACCAAAAAAGAAAAAACCAAACCCACTGCCATCAAGTTGATTCCAACTCATAGTGACCCCCACTGGGGTTTCCCAGACTCTAAATCTTTAGAGAAATAGATTGCCTCATCTTCCTGCCATGGAGCAGCTGGTGAGTTTGAACCCCTAGACCTTCAGATTAGCAGCCAAACGCCTTACCCACTACACCACCAAAGCTCCTTGCAGAGGTACACGGGAGATTCCAGTCATGCCTGGTAATGTTATTGGCAGCACAACCTTCTGAACTCCCAGGTTATCCTTTCAGGTCTAGTTACAGTGCTGTCCCAGGGAGATGATAATATAAGACGCAGATGGGCAGCAGGTGAGAGGGCTCTGTTCTGCAGCTTCTCATGTTTAGCCGCTCAGGTCCAGAAATCAGGGCAGCTCGGCTTTCTGAGAAGTGAGGAGTCTGTTTCCAACTACTGGGCAGTCTCTCCAGACACTATACCAAAAAACCAAACCCACTGCCATTGAGTCAATTCCAACTCATAGCGACCCTCATTGGGTTTCCAAGGCAGTATCACTACGGAAGTAGATTGCCCAATCTTCCTTCTGTGGGGTGGTTGGTGGGTTTGAACCACCAGCCTTCTGGTTAGCAGTCAAATGGCTTAGGCACTACACCACCAGAGCTTCCATTGGGTTTCCAAGGTGGTAAATCTTTACAAAAGTAGATTGGCCCATCTTCCTTCCATGGAGTGGCTGGTGGGCTTGAACCACCAACCTTCTGGCTAGCAGTCAAATGCCTTAGGCACTGAGCCATCGGAGCTCCTTCCAAGGACTATGGGGGCTGTAAACAGTTGTTTAACAATTAGTTAATAATCACCTATAATGTACCTGGAACTAGGGATGGGTATTAATATATCAATCATCTCTGAATCCCATGACATTCTGACCAAATGGCTACAGCATTATTCACACTGTGCAGATGGGAGAACCAAGAGTCAGAGAAGCTGTGTAGGTTATTCAACAATGACAGATCTAGGGTTTGAGCTGATGGTCATCTGACTCTAAAGCATCCACTCTGGTCTTCCATAGTTCAAAGTTGCCCCTTCTCTTACGGGTGGCTCGTGCCTAGTCCTGAAGAGCCAATTAGCAGGCATCCACACACAAATGGGCTCAGAAAAGGAATTACCTGCCAAGAGGGTCCTCTGACCTGTCTGCATCCCTATGTCTCTTTCCTCCCCAGGCCTGAGAAAGATGGAGGAGCCACTGGAGTGGACGCCGTCTGTACCTACCACCCTGACCCTACAGGCCTTGGGCTGAACAGAGAGCAACTCTACTGGGATCTGAGCCACCAGACTCATGACATCACCCAGCTGGGGCCCTACACCCTGGACAAGGACAGTCTCTATGTCAACGGTGAGTAGTGGTGATGACAGGAATCTCCTGCTCCACCCCGGGTCGTCCTGCTGCTGAGCTCTAGCAGAGGGTGCATCCCTATCTGCGTCTAGATTTGGCTCTTCTCACTCATTGTAAGTGTCTGCTTCCTCACCAAGAGCTAATCACACCCACACCCCCACACACAAAGGCAGACAATGAGAGAAAGCTGTAGGAGGCGTCATCCACAGCTTGGAAGGAAAATGACCTGCTGACCCCGGGATGGCCCCTTGAAGCCTTCCCAATGGCATCTGTTCTTCCTTGTCCAGAGGTTGTCCAGCTTCTCCAAGCCTCCCTAAACTTCCCACCACTCCACCTCACTCTTACCTTAATCACTCTGCAGGTTTCACCAGAACAGCCTTGACTCCCATTCCTAGTGGTAAGTGTTCAAACCCCAGAAGGGTCTGTGTCCCATTGCCCCTGGTGAAGGTAGTTGATCCCTCTCCCCAAAGTCCAGGACCCTGAGGATGAAGAAACTCATAGGTCCCTGGTCACCCACCCCAACCTCTATCTTCTGTGACTCAGACTGGGTGTCAGGGCCCCTCATCTCTGGCACCTCCAAGATGCCGGGCCTGCATCATTCCCATTCCTGATGCTTCCTCCTCAGTTGCTGTGACTGTCACATTCTCTTCGGGAACCTCAGCAGCTCCCTCCTCCAGCTCCACAGGTAAGAGCATGTTCTCCATGTTTCCTCCCTTCCCACCCACATGCCTCTGTGCTTGGCAGTAAGAAGAGCAAATGGAATGTGTGCAGGCGGATCAGGGCAAGGGGAGATGGGGGAGCATGAATCCATGAGAACATTCCCTTGTCAGAGATCAGTGCACACCTGACTTTGCAGAGCTCTGTGACTCCAGGTTTACACTTCCAGACTACAGTAGTGATTCCTCTTAAGCAACCCTTTTTCTGTTAAGGTGTTTTATCAGTTAGCTTTTATTGCATGACAACCAACCCTAAAATCTAGTGGATTAAAAAACCACCATATACTACTGTGAATGAGTAAACAGTTCAGATGGGAGTTCCTCTGCTCTCAGCTGGTCTCCCTTATGTGTCTTCAGTCCCCTGCAGGTCAGCTGGGTGCCTTGGCTTCTGGAGGATGTCTCACTACTGGTTGGGGTTTTCAGTTCTCCTTCATGTCATCATCCAATATGCCAGCTCAGCCTCATTCATAGGACGGTCATTTCAGTTCCTAGCAGCAGGAAAGGCAGCCCCAGTGCCAAATGCTTACGAGCCTTTGACTGTATCACATTTCTCATATCCTACTGCCCAAGTCACATGTCTAAGCAGATTCAAGAGGTGAAGAAATAGACTCCCACCTCTTGATGGAAGGTCCTACAACATCACATTGTAAGAGTGTAGAGGCAGGCAGGGGAAGAATTTGTGGCCATTTTGACAATCTACCCAACTGACTTGCCAAGGGCAGCTTGTGACAGTTCTCTGTCCCCAGGCCCTAGGAGGTCCAGGGTGGTCAGTCAGTAAAACCAGAACTAGTAGCCCATTCAGGAACGGTGCCCAAAGCCTCACCTTCTTTTAGGATGGGAAAGAAATGAAAACCAGTCGCCATCAAGTCAACTCCAACTGACAAATGACCCCATGCATGTAAAAGCCTATGCTCCATAGGGTTTCCAATAGCTGATTTTTCTGAAGTAGATCACCAAGTCTTTCTTTTGAGACATGTCAGGTGGACTTGAACCTCCAACTTTTCAGTTAGCACCCAAGTCCCTTAACCATATTCATCACCCAGGGACAAAAAGGAAATAGTCCAGAGCAATTCAGCACTCATTCTCAGGGGACGGAGACTAAGGAGGTCAGCAGAGAAAGTAGCGATAAACATTAATATCAACAATGACAATAAGACAACAGCAGCATTTACTGATTGCTTGCCACATGCCAGCAACTCTGCTTTTCAGGCATGATCTTACTTCAACCTTAGCAGGTAGGCACTATGATTTCTCCATTTGAGAGAGACAAAAATGAAGCTCGGGGTTCTTTGTGATTTTTCTGAGGTCACATAGCCAGCAGATGGCCAAGACTCTGTTTCAGGTCTTTCAAACTCCAGAACCTGAGCTTCTGCCTTAAGAAGAGCTGTGTGGCTTTCAGGCAGTGACTTACCCTCTCTAAAACTCACTTCCATCCTCTGTAAATTGGAACGAAGTAATAGGATTCACTTCGTGGGATTGTTGTGAGGATTAAAGGAGATACTGTTTGTCACTGAGTGTAGTATAGAGTAAGCACTTACCAAATACCAGTTGTTATTAGAGCTGCTGTCTTTATTGTTATTATTATTATCATTACTATTATGAGCATCTTTCAAAAGAAAGTTCCCCATTCTGGGAAGATTCATTCTGACCCCTTGCACCAGAAGTAAACACATTGGTCATCACAGATGTTGACAGAGATTCGCAGTCCCCTCCCCCACCAGATCTAGTACAGACTTGATTCAAGGTGCAGCAATTTCTTCTCTTCCTCCACTGCTGTAGCCCCTGGCCCTGTCCTGGTGCCCTTCACCCTCAACTTCACGATCACCAACTTGCAATACATGGAGGACATGAGTCTTCCAGGGTCCTTGAAGTTCAACACCACGGAGAGGGTCCTGCAGCGCCTGGTGAGAGCCCTGCCCACCTCACTCAGGCCCCCCACTGATGCCTGCCCCATCCACCTCCCCTCTGTCCACCAACTGAGTCAGCCTGCCCACTGATTTCTGCCACTCACTTCACCCCGCTTCCCAGCTGATGCCAGCTATGCCCACCTCAACTTTACTTCACCCGCTGTAGCCTGTTCCCAGCCCAGTGTGCCCCAGCCCCATGCCTGTCTGCCTGGACCTCCTCCTCACTTCTCTCTCCTTTTCTCCAGCTCAAACCCTTGTTCGAGAACACCACTGTCGGCCCTCTTTACTCCGGCTGCAGACTGACCTCTCTCAGGTGAGACCTTCAGAGACTGTGGGTGGCCTTGCAGGCATGTTGGAGACTTTACCCATGGGCTCCCCGGAGTAGGTCCTCCCACCTTAACTATTTCCAGGCCCCAACCTGGAACAGCCACTGCCCCTGGAGCTTCTAACACTCAGGCTATGCTCTGGGCTTCCCCTCCTCCTAAGTCCTCAAATCTCCCAGACAGTAGTTCCTGGAAACAAAAAGAATGTAGCAAGTTGAAAGTGCATCAAAACCCTTCACAAAGGACACTGCTGTTGTTTGGTGCTGTCAAGTGGTCTCTGACTCATAGCAGCCCCGTGTCCAACAGAACAAAACCCTGCCTGGTCCTGCCCCAGCCTCGCAATTCCTGCTGTGCTTGAGCCCACTGTTACAGCCACTGTCAGTCCATCTCGTTGAGGGTCTTTCCCTTCTTCGCTGACCCCCCACTTTACCAAGCATGATAGCCTTCTCCAGGGATTGCTCTCTTCTGACAACATGACCAAAGGAGGTGAGATGAAGTCTGGCCATTCTCACTTCCAAGGATCATTCCGGCTGCACTATTTCCAGGACATATTTATTAGTTCTTCTGGCAGTGTATGGTACTTTCAGTATTCTTCACCAACACCACAATGCAAAGGCATTAATTCTTCTTTGGTTGGGCGCTCTGGTAGCATAGTGCCTAAGGCACTTGACTGCTAACCAGAAGGCTGGCGGTTCAAACCCACCAGCCACTCCTCGGAAGGAAGGTTGGGCAATCTACTTCCGTAGTGATACCACCTCAGCAACCCAAGGAAGGGTCGCTATGAGTCAGGTCCGACTCGATGGCACATAACAACAACAACTTCTTTGGTCTTCCTTATTCACTGTCCAGTGGTGTGGCATTGGGACAGTGAATTAACGTCTCTTAAACTTCCTGTCATCCTCTATAATTTGGCAGTAAGTAGTAAAACTTACTTTATGGGATTGTTGGGCAGATTAAATGAGGTACTGGATGGAAAGTGCTTAGGACAGAGTGTGGCATGGAGTAAGCGCTCACCAAATATCAGCTGTTGTTACTGCTTTGACAGATGTAAAACAACAGCACAGGAAAGGAAAGGTACGTGCCAGAGCCACACAACTTGGCAAACGGTGGGCTGTGATTCTAGCCCAGTGTCCAAAGAATCCATGTTTTTGTCCACTAAGCTTACTTTGTCTCTTCCTCTTGGGAAGAACTTCATGCCTTCATCCCTCTTCCCCTTTTCTCTGCTTCCTTGCAGGGTAGAGGTGAGGGGCATGTCCCTTGCCTGGCCACACATGGGGATTATGACGCACGAGTGTCTGGCTCTGCTCTGAGGTCTCTCAGAAGGTTTAGTTTAGCTGGGCATCTTCTTGGAATATACTCCAGGCCTCGGGAAGTAGAAGCAGAAAGAGGATGTCCTTCCCTGACATACTAGGTAGAGAGGGAAGGAAGGAAGTCATTTCTTTTAGAGATAAACCCAGGTGCTCATGTACCCCTGCCACAAGTGGCCTCTTCTCCTGGGATTTCAAACTTTTTCTTTCCTTCCACAAGCATTATTTGAGCACCTACTGTATACGAAGTATGCGCTCAGCTCTGAATATTCAGTGGAGACTAAGCATAAACTACTGTCTTGGTTCTCTAGAGCTGCTATAACAGAATACAAGTGGCTGGCTTCTACAAACAGGAATTTATTCTCTTACAGTTTAGGAGGCTAGAAGAACAAGTTCAGGGAGCCAGCTCGAGGGGCCAGGTGGAGGCCCCTCAACCTTGGGCTTCACCTCTGCCTCTTGTCCAGGCTCACTGGAGCAAGCTAAAGGCTTCTGACTCATGCAGCTGCTGGCTGCTGAGGCTGAGAAACCTATTGATCAGCAGGTAAATGGCACAGGCCCAAAACTGGCAGGAAACAAGCAGGTCACTGGTTCCAGTCCAGGAATAATGCCCAAATCAGCAGACAACATAGCAGGCCACTGGCCATCCAAATTGCCAAAAAGCCAGAGACTTTCCTCAGAGCTTCTCCATATATACTGGGAGCAGACCACATCCCAAAGGCAGCTCCCCTTCAACTGATGAGGTGCTCACCGCAGAGTCCACCATGGAGGTGATTAAATCTTATCATGGAAAATAACTGCATCCAGCTGCCAAACCACTGAAAACAACGGTCCAGCCAAGTGGACATGCAACCTTAACTACCACAACTACCCTCTAGAAAGCTCATAAACAGATAATTAATAGTAGTAATAATGGTGAGTAATAATAATCAATAACAAGCACTCATCTGGTACTTAGGATGTACCAGGAAAAACTGCCCCTCCTCATTTTATAGATGAGAAAACTGAGCCATAGAGAGGCCATTGACATATCAAGAGAACAGGAAAGGGCAGTGGGCTCAGGAGGAACTGATATTGAAGCTGCTACCTGGAGACAAGTAGGTGGCAGCCAAGAGACATACCTCTGGGCCAGGAGACACAGCTCTGAGGGAAGGGGAACAAGAAGTACCAAGGGTAGAGCCTGACATGGGGTGTGCAAGCAAATCAGAAATACTCAACTGCAAGTGTGAGGGCAGAAAGGCGAGCAGGGCCAGTCACGGCCGCCCTGATGTCATGTGAAAACATTCCAGCTTCATCCTCAGGCAGTAGGGAATAATTTCAATAAATATCTAACAAGGAAATACTTGCACTTACACTGAGAATTGGATGCTTTGTGAAGGACAGATTGTAAAGGGTAGGATGGCTAGTGATGAGAGATCTATACTCAGGAGGTGATGTTTAAGGTATCGTTTTCATGATGTAGAGCAAATTTCTTCAATGGTGGGTGATGGAGTATCCTGGGTTCTCTTGATAAGAGCCCAACCACTTTCCTCCCTTTTTTAAATTGATGTTTTATTGTGTTTTCGGTGAAGGTTTACATAGCAATTTACATACCCATTCAACAGTTTCTACACAAATTGTTCAGTAACATTGGTTCCAGCCTTCACAATGTGTGAGCATGTTCATTATTTTAATTCTGGTTGTTCCATTTCCAATAATTTAGTTTCCCTGTCCTCTTAACTTCTTGTTGTTGTTGTTCTGTGCCGTCGAGTTGGCCCCGACTCATAGCGACCCCTCCTTGGGTTTCCGAGGCAGTATCACTATGGAAGTAGGATTGCCCAACCTTCCTTCCGAGGAGTGGCTGGTGGATTATCTTTGTTTTAAAGTCATTGACTTATATAGGTGATTTAAAAAAAAAAAAAAAAGGCACACAGTACTCATGGGTGATACTCACTGCCATCGAGTCATTTCTGATTCATAGCGACCCCTATTGGGTTTCTGAGGCTGTAAATCTTTACAGAAGTAGATCATCCCATTGTCTTTTGTAAGCCAATCTGAAACTTGACCCATGGGGCTAGTTTCCGTTCAAGGTTTAAAGACTATCTCAGGTCAGTAGACTCGGGGAGCCCCCTAGACTCAACTGGTAAGATAATTCTGGATTTTATAAGAATGTAAGGGTCTGTTCCACATTCTTCTCCCCTTCTATCAGGATCCATCTACTGTGTCTCTGATCAGAACAGTTGGTGGTGGTATACAGGCACCATCTATCTAGTTCTTCTCGTCTCAGGGTAGATGAGGTCATGGTTTGTGTAGACTGTTAATCCGGTAGACTAGTTTCTTCTTTGAGTCTTTGGTTTCTTTATTTCTCTTTTATGAACCCCACCACTTTCTAACTTTCCCTATGGTACCTCTACCATGTCCTTGGGAGCTCCCCAGAAATGGATCCCTCTTGTCTCCATTCTTGTGTCTCTTCCCAGGCCTGAGAAACATGAAGCAGCTACAAGTATAGATGCCATATGCACCTATCGCCCCAACCACACAGGCCTTGGGATGGACAGAGAGCACCTGTACCAGGAGCTGAGCCAGCTGACCCATGGCATCACCCAGTTAGGCCCCTACACTCTCGACCATAACAGTCTCTACATCAATGGTAAGGGGATGCCATCTTGTTTTGCATCCCAGAAGACCGCACGTCCTCCCTCCTCATCCTACTCTTTGCCTTCTCTCATTGCTCTCATCCTTTTGCCCTCTACCTCTGCAGGTTACACCCACCAAACTTCAGAAACCACCCCCAGTGGTAAGTACTCAGTGGTCTCAGAGGGCCTTTTCCCCTGGGAAAGAAGCAACAGGCCTCCTGCCAACATCTCCAGCTGTCAGGAGGGAAGGAGCCAGGGGCACAGGCCAGGAAGTTATTGCATTAAGACTCAGCTGTGAATTGCCTCTATGTTGCCCACCAGGCACAGAGAAATGGCTACTGGTTGTTGGCTTGGTGGGTAGATGAATGAAAGTGAACAATTGAATGGAAATAATTAAGAATGTTGGGTCATTAAATGGCTATTTCATTTCTTTGTAGCTTCCAAAATATTCCTTCCTTTCCTCCAGCAGATGATAGTCAAATGTTATCCACAAGTGGTAATTCTGGCATTTGGCCTCAAGAACCCTCAGCCATTGCTATGGTCTCCTAAGGAATGGGCACTGGGTCCGTGATTTTGGCCCCAGGCCCTGTGCACCACATCCTTTCCAGGCTTAACTCAGGCATGGTTTCTCTTCTCCTTCCTCTGCTGTAGCCGTAGCCCTGGTGCCCTTCACCCTCAACTTCACCATCACCAACCTGCACTACACCGAGGACATGGGTCCTCCAGGCTCTGTGAATTTCAACACCTCAGAGAAGGTCCTGCAGTATCTGGTAAGAGGACCTTCTACATCACGCATACCCTGCACACCGGTGCCAACCCTGTCCACCTATGACAGCCCCTCCCACTTCATTCCTGCCCTGTTTACTTGTGCCAGCTTCACCCACCTCACTCCTACTCTTCTCACTGGTGCCACCCCTCCCACTTTACTCCTTCTCTGCCTACCAATGCCAGCTGCTTCCAGTTCACTCTTACCCTGCTCATTGGTACCAGTTTCATCCACTGGTGCCAGGCCTGGCCACTTCACTCCTGCCCACCTCACTCTTACCTTGCTCACTAGTGCAAGCTCCTCCCACTTTGCTTCTACCCTGCTCACTGGTACTAGACCTGCTGAACTATGAAAGGCTTCTCCCACCTATGCCCAGCCCCACCTATCATACTCCCTTTTTCCTAGCTCTCCTCCTCACCTCCAGTTCTTCCTCCATAGCTTGGGCCCTTGTTCAAGAACACCAGTATTGGCCCCCTCTTCTCTGGCTGCAAACTGACCTCGCTAAGGTGAGATCTCCCAATAGAATGGCTGGCCAGGGCTGCCCCAAAGGCCCCAGGCCCAAGGCTTTTGGTTGGCTTCCTTTCTGCCTTGTCTGATGCAGTGTCTAGTCTAAGCAGAGGTGGAATTCAGGAGGCACTGATTCTAGGACCAAGGGTCCTCTCCCTAAGCCCCCAAGTTCTGCAGAGCCTATCAAGAGAACTGTCCCCCGAACTCCCTCCTCCCCTTCCTCTGACCAAAGAGGGCATTTCCTTCCAGTGTTAAATTCCATCCCCAGGGATTCTCTCCAGACAAAATGTGCCTTCTCCACTTGCTCTTCCCCTGTCTCATGTCATGTGTGAGCTTCCCTGTACCCATGCTGTGGATATGCAGCTTTCAGGCTAATAAAAATTGACTTTGCTCACAGTCCTAGGCTGAGTGGTAGTTGGTGCCCTCAGAAAATCTCCATCTGACTTCTCACCTCTCTACAAGACTTTTCCTTTCCTCTGACCCCTTCCTCTCCTGCCCCCACAATCACAGAACCTCTCATGGGGGACTCCGTTTGTTGTCATCTCCTCATGCTCCCTCCTCAGGCCTGAGAAAAATGGGGCAGCCACCAGAGCAGACACCATCTGCACCTACCACGCTGACCCTAAGTTCCCTGGCCTGGACAGAGAGCAGCTTTACTGGGAGCTGAACCAGCTGACCCACAGGGTCACACAGATGGGCCCCTACACCCTGGACAGGGACAGTCTCTATGTCAATGGTAAGAGGCCCTGCTGGGGTGGGATTCTTCTTGCCCTTGCTAGGTGGGTCGTACTAGGGCAGGTCTCTGCCTCAAGTTCAGGTTTCCATCTGGGCCTCTCCTTTTGGATCCTTTGAGCAAGGCCTCTGCCTCTCCTGGGTGGGAAGGAGGTATGTGGCCTGTGATCCCTGCCTGGTGGGGCACTGTCTTCCTTGTAAGTAATCATAGCCGTAATGATCCAGCCTCCTTTCTGCTGTGACCAAGTTGCCTCCTCATTGAATATCTCTCCCATCCTTTTCCTCACCATCCAATCTACAGGTTACACCCACTGGGTCTCTGCCACTACCTTCAACAGTGAGTATTACTGACCTCAATATCCCTGTTTGCCTGGGACCATCCCACATCACCTGAACAATTGGAGCTGCAAGACATGCCAACCCCTTCCTCTCAGTCCTTACCATTAGGAAGGAAAAGTGTTACGAGGACATGCATAGAATGTGGACTGAGTTGGAGATGACAGTGGTTACCCAGGTCACCCCCTTGAGGATGATGGCCTCCCCCCAGGCTAAGAGAGTCATAGAGAGAACTGTATATTTCAGTGGCTTAGTACCCAACTCCCAACACCCATTGCCATTTCCTGAGAAATAATTCACCTTGGATTTCAATCTTGTGTTTCTTCAATAGCAGCTGTGACCACCACATCCTTCCCAGCATCCTCTCTGGCTACAGCCCTCACCAGCAAGCCCACAGGTAGGAAAGACCTCTGGCTCCAGCATTATTTGTACCACATCATTTCTTCCTTCATTGCTCATTCACTTCCCCCAGGGGAGCTTATCCATTTATGTATATTTTGCTAACAATCTAGCCTCTGTGCCCAAGTTCACACCCCACAGTGGCTCTGGACCCTTAGTCCATCCACCTTCTAGTACATCACTCAGACTGATTGGTCTTAATAAGTCCACCCTGAACTTATCATCATCCCTCAAACCCATTCCTTCCTTTATCATCAAATGTAGAGGCAGGCATGTCAACCTTGGCCCTCCTTGTACTTCACCTCCCACATCCATCCATCTCTCAAGACTTTCCTTTCTCTGAATCTACATTATCTAAAACTTTACTTGGGCAACGAGCATCTTTCGCTAGGATGGCTGCAGTAGCCTACACTGTGGCCTTTATATGTCTACCTAACTCCAGTCTTTTTGACAATCTTTGGATGGCTCCACCCAGCCTCCAGTCATGTCCAACCTCTGTTCTTGTTAGTCACAGTCTCCCCTTTCTGTGTTCAGAGGATCCTTCCATTTCTAACGACTACACTTCCTGTGGCCATGATGGAAGGACTTCAGGTTCCTTTAATGTAGCTGCTCTGCCCTACCACCACACGTTTGCCCAGGCTATTCATTCTACTGGAACACGCTGCCCAGTTGTTGGCCACCATTTATCAAACTCTTACCTATTCTTGTGGTCACACTCAAAGTGGGGCTTCCTTTGTGAAGTTTTTCTGAGTCATTGGGTTGGGTGCTCCTCCTGGACTCATATGCACCCCCACAGCTCCTCCTGCAGTATAATTTCTCATCATTGCTCTGGCCACAAAACTGGAGAATAAGACAGGTCAAGTTTCCTAATGCTGCTATAACAGAAATAGTACAAATGAGGGATTTAGAGAACAGAAATTTATCTCTGGTGGTGCAGTGCCTAAGGCATTTGACTGCTAACCAGAAGGCTGGCAGTTCAAACACACCAGCCACTCCTCAGAAGGAAGATTGAGCAATCTACTTCCATAGACATACTGCCTCAGAGGCCCAGGGAGGGGTTGCTATGAGTCAACTCGACTCGACAGCAGTAAGTTTGGTTTTGGTATAGAAGGAAGCACTCTCTCTTTCTGCTCCAGAGAATGTTTTCATCTTTCTCAGGTTCTCTAGACCCAGCATTCCTCACTTCCTGTCAGTCTTCATGTGTCATCTAGCTTCCCCAGTTGATGCTTGTGCTGCTGTGTCTAATCTACTCATTTTTATAACTCAGAAGTGATTATGTTTAGGATACACCCTACACTGATATGAACTCATTAATATAACAAAGAAAACCCTATTTGGAAAAGAGATTACATCCATGGGTGTATTGTTGCTAGGTCCCTGGAATTGATTTTCAACTTATAATGACTCAAGGGGGCCCTGGTTGCACAAAGGTTAAGCACTTGGCTGCTAAACAAAAGGTTTTCAGTTTGAACCCACTTAGCAGCTCTTTAGTTTCAGGAAAAGACCTGGCAATCTACTCCCATAAAGATTACAGCCTAGAAAATTCTATGTGGCAGTTCTACACTATTATATTTTGTCCCTGTGATCCACAGGATTAGGGTTCCAATACATGTTTTTGGGGAACACAATTCAATCCACAACACTATGCCTTATTCTACAAGAGCCAAAGTATGACATTGAGTATGTCCCACCTGAAGTTAGACACCATCTCAAGAACAGATATGGTGCACTGAACAATAATGACTGAAGACCAGATGAGCTGTAGGATAATATAAAGGACATCACACCTGAAGAAAACAAAAGGTCACTAAAAAGACAAGAAAGAAAGAAAAGACCAAAATGGATGTCGGAAGAGACTCCAAAACTTGCTCTTGAACAGAGAGTAGCTAAAGCAAATGGAAGAAATGATGAAGTAAAGGAGTTGAACAGAAGATTCCAAAAGGCAACTCAAGAAGACAAAGTAAAGAATTATAATGTGTAAATACCTGCCATTGGGAAAGTACATGCTCTACATTTCTCAAGATGAAAGAACTGAAGAAAAAATTCTAGCCTCAAGTTGCAATATTGAAGAATTCTATGGGTAAAAAATTAAATGACACAGGAAGCATCGAAAGAAGATGAAAGGAAAACAGAGTCACTATACCAAAAAGAACTGGTCAATGTTCAACCACTTCAGGAGGTAGCATTTGATCGAGAAACTATAGCACTGAAGAAGGAAGTCTAAGTGACACTGAAGTCATTGGTGAAAAACAAGGCTCCAGGAATTGGCAGAACACCAGTTGAGATGTTTCAACAAATGGATGCAACACTGGAAGTGCTCACTTACCTGTGCCAGGAAATTTGGAAGACAGCTACCTGACCAAAACACTGGAAGAGATCCATATCTGTGTCTATTCCAAAGAAAGCTGACCCAACAAGATGCAGAGATCATTGAATATCATTAATTTTGGTTTTGGTTGGTATGTGTCATCAAGTCGGACCCAGCTCATAGCGATCCCTCCTTGGGTTTCTGAGGCAGTATCACTACGGAAGTAGATTGCCTCATCTTCCTTCCGAGGAGTGGCTGGTGGGTTTGAACCGCCAGCCTTCTGGTTAGCAGTCAAGTGCCTTGGGCACTATGCTACCAGAGCTCCCAGAATACCATTAATATCACACACAAATAAAATTCTGCTGAACGTAATTAAAAAACACTATCAGAGTCGCCAGGCAGCCCAGCTTTGCAAAGGGCTCCAAATTTAAATCTGGAAAGTCACTGAAATTTAGAAAAGAATTTTTACTATGTGACTTTTTAGATTTTTGGTAAGAATTGTGTATAAATTGTCCATAATGTCTCTGTATCAACCCTTAAAACAACCACTAAAATACCAAATATGAAAGAAAACAAACAAAAATGTTGCTACAATACATCCAAAAGGAGCTGCCAGAAATTCAAGGCAGGTTCCGAAGAGGACATGAAATCAGGGATATCATTGCTGATGTCAAATGGATCTTGGTTGAAAGCAAACAATACCAGAAAGATCTTTACTTGTGTTTTGTTGACTATGCAAAGGCATTCAGCTGTGTGGATCATAACAAATTAGGGATAATATTGTGAAGAATGGGAATTCCAGAACACTTAATTGTGCTCATGCAAAATTTATACATAGACCAAGAGGCACTAGTATGAACAGAACAAGTGGATATATTGCATGGTTTAAAAACAGGAACAGTGTGTGTCAGAGTTGTTTCCTTCCACCATACTTATTCCATCTGTACGCTGAATAAATAATCCAAGAAACTGGACTTTATGAAGAAGAATGCTGCATCAGGACTGGATGAAGACTCATGTACAGCCTGCAGTATGCAGATAACACAACCTTGCTTGCTGGAAGTGAAGATGCCTTGGAGCACTTACTGGTGAAGATCAAAGACCACAGTCTTCAGTATAAAGAAAACAAAAAAATCCTCACAATGGGACCAATAAGCAACATCACAATAAATGGAGAAAAGATTTTCCAGATTTAAATTTGTGAATTTTCAGGAATTTCATTTCACTTGGATCCACAGTCAACACCCATGGAACCAGCAGTCAAGAAATCAGACATCATATTACACTGGGCAAATCTGCTGCAAAAGGTCTCTTTAAAGCATTAAGGAGCAAAGATATCACTTTGAAGACCAAGGTGTGCCTAACCCAAGCCATGGTATTTTCAATCACCTTATATGCCTGTGAAAACTGGACAATGAATAAGGAAGAATGAAGAAGAGTTGATGCCTTTGAATTGTGTTGTTGGCGAAGAATACTGAAAATGCCATGGACTGCCAGAAGAATGACCAAACAAATCTGTCCTGGAAAAAGTGCACCTGGAATGCTCCTTAGAAGTGAGAATGGCCAGACTTCATCTCACTTACTTTGGACATTATTAGGAGAGGCCAGTCCAAGGAGAAGGACACCATGGTTGGTAAAGTAGTAGTAGTAGCTGTTGTTGTTAGGTGCTGTCAAGTCACCTCTGACTCATAGCAACCCTGTGTACAACAGAATGAAATACTTCCTGGTCTTGCACTGTCCTCACAATCCTTCCTGTGTTTGAGCCCATCCCTGCAGACACTGTCAGTTCACCACATTGAGTGTCTTCCCCTTTTTTGTTGACCTTTCACTTTACCAATCATGATATCCGTCTCCAGGGAATGGTCCCTTCTGACAACATAACCAAAATTAGTGAGACGAAGTCTGGCCATTCTCATTTCTAAGGAACATTCTGGCTGTACTTCATCCAGGACAGAGTTGTTCATTCTTCTGACAGTCCATGGTACTTTCAGTGTTCTTCGCCAGCACTACAGTTCAAAAGCATCAACTCTTCTGTACTCTTTATTTTCCAGCTTTCACATGCATAGTAAGTGATTGAAAATACCATGGCTTGGGTTAGGTGCACCTTAGTCTTCAAAGTGACATCTTTGCACCTTAACATTTTAAAGAAGTCTTTTGCAGATTTGCCCAGTGCAATACAACATCTGATTTCTTGACTGCTGCTTCTATGGGTGTTTGTGGATCCAAGTAAAATGAAATCCGTGTACAAGTTTACAATCTTTTCTCTATTTATTATGATATTACTTATTGGTCCAATTGTGAGGATTTTTATTTTCTTTATATTGAAGAAATATAAATATTTATACTGAAGACTGTAGTTTTTTATCTTCACCAGTAAGTGCTTTAAGTCCTCTTCACTTTCAGCAAGCAAGGTTGTGTCATCTGCATATCACAGGTTGTTAATGAGCCTTCCTCCAATCTTGATGCCATGTTCCTCTTCATATAGTCCAGCTTCTCATATTATTTGCTCAGCATATGGATTGAATAAGTATGGTGAAATAATACAACCCTGACACACCCTTTGAGCCCATCCTTGCAGGACTGCAACAATGAGGTCAAACATAACAATCATTGTGAGGCAGGCAAAGGACCAGACAGTGTTTCATTCTCTCACTCATAGAGTTGCTATGAGTTGGAACCAACTCAAAAGCACCTAACAACAAAAAGAGCATGGCCTATTTGTCTATGAACTCTTAAAGAGTGAGACAAAACTTTCCGCCCATTAAAGTTCAATTAATACTCACTGAATGAGTGAGTCAAGGTTCACAAAGTTGTAAATTCCACAAAGTTCCCTCCTTTAGCTCTTGCAGCCTATGGCTCTACATAGTACACTGCTGGTGTTTCTGGCTAGAGCCCCTGACAATGGTGGCCATTAACCCAAACCCACTTCCACTGAGTGATTCCTACTCATAGCAGCACTCTAGGACAGAGCAGAACTGTCCCATTGGGTTACCAAGGCTGTAAAACTTAACCAAAGCAGACTGCCACATCTTTCCCCCACAGAGCAGAAGGTGGGTTTGAAACAGCCAATCTTTTTTTGCTGCCAAGCACTTAACAACTATGGCATCAGGACTCCTCGTTGGCCATTACTATGGTTCAAATGGACAACTTTCTCTTGTGCCCCAATGCAGCTCCTAAACCTGCCCTGGTTCCGTTCACCCTCAACTTCACCATCACCAACCTGCACTATATGGATGACATGGGACACCTAGGCTCTGTGAAGTTCAACTTCACTGAGAAGATCCTGCAGCATCTGGTAAGACCTCTATGATAACCAGCTGGCAGCCCCAACTTACACCTGCCCAAACAGCCCCCCAGCCTCTCTGAGCCCCACTGCTCACCTCCTTTTATTTTCTCACCAGCTTGGGCCCCTGCTCAATAAGACCAGTGTTGGCCCCCTCTACTCTGGCTGCACACTGACCTCGCTCAGGTGAGACAACTTGAAAAGACAGTTGGCAGGGCTACCACAAGTGCTCTCAGACCCAAGTCACTTGGTCAGTTTCCTTCCTGCCCTGCCAGATACATGAACCTCAGAGGTGGAATTCAGAAGGCACTTGCTCCAGAACTAAGGCATCTTCTGGTCCTTACTTTTACCCTCAGACTCTGATGAGCCCATCAACAGGACTGCCTCCTCACTTATCACTCCTCTGAATTTCCTCTGCCCCTTTCTCTTACAAAGGAGGGTACTTCCTTTGGGTGTTAAATTCTGTCCAGACAAATGTGTCTTCTCCACTTAACTTTAATCCCAAATCAAACTCTTCACCTGTCTCTTTCCTCTGGCCCTTCCTCCCTTTCCTCTAAAGAATCTTAGGACCCCTCTCTGAGGACACCGTTTAATGCCATCCCCCACATTCTTCCTACCCAGGCCCAAGAAGGATGGGAAAGCCACCAGAGTGAACATCATCTGCACCCACCGCCCTGACCCTGATGGCCACAGGCTGGACAGAGAGTGGCTTTACTGGGAGCTGAGCCAGCTGACCCGTGGTGTCACACAATTAGGTCCCTACACTCTGGACAGGAACAGTCTCTATGTCAATGGTGAGAGGCCATGATGAAGTGAAGTCTCCTCCACATTACTAGGAGGTTCTTCAAATTCAGGCTTCCATCTGGGCCTCACATTTTGGAGGGCTTTGAGCAAGGTCTCTGCCTCTCCTGGGTGGGAAGGGGGTGTGTGGCCTTTGATCCTTGCCAGCAGAGGTTCTGTCATCCTTGGGAGAAATCAGAGCTGTGATGGTCCAGCCACCATTTTTCCTGGGCCAAGTTGTCTCCTCATTGACTGTCTCTCCCACCCTCTTCCTCACTATCTATAGGTTACACCCACTGGACTTCAGCCACCACCTCCAACAGTGAGTATTACAGACCTCAGTATCACTGTGTGCCTGGGACCACCTTACATCTCCTGAAGAAGAGGAGGTGCTGGACCTGTGAACCCCTCCTCCCACTACTTACCATCAGGAAGGAAAAGGGTTCAGAGGGCATGCATACACTGTGGACTGAGTAGCCCACCCTCTTGAGGTCAATGTTCCCAGGCTCAGAGGGTCACAGAGAGAACTGTACATTTCCATAACTTAGTACCGAACCTCCACCACTCATTGCCATTTCCTGAGAGATGATTAACTTTGTATTTCAACCCTTGGTGTTTCTTTCCCAGCAGCTGTGACTGCCACATCCTTTCAAGCACCCTCTCTGGCACCTGCCTTCACCACCAGGCCCACAGGTAGGGAAGTCCTCAGGTTCTTATTTATAATTAAATCCTTTCTCCAGCATTATTTGTACCAAATCATTTCTTCCTTCACTGCTCACTCACTCTCCCTGAGGAAACTCATCCATTTATGTGGATTCTGTTGACCATCCAGCCTCTGGTTGCCCAAATCCACACACCACAGCAGCTCCAGACCTCTTTTCCACTCACCTCCTGGGACATCATTCATGCTACTTGTCTTCCCTAAGTCATCATCGTTCCTCAAACCTTCTCCTTCACTCATCAACATAGACAGAGGCAGGCAGTGTGCCAAACTTGGCCCTCCCTGTTCCTCATCTTCCACATCCATCCATCACCAAAGTTCATCTCTTCTCCCTCTTGAATCTCTCAAGACTTTCCTTTCTCTGCATCTGGATCACCTCAACCTTTATTATATCCACCAGATCTTTCACTAGGGTTGCTGCAATAATTTCCACTTTACCCTACATATGGCCATGTAATTCCTGCCTTGTTCACAAGCTTAGGATGGCTTCCCCTGGCCTCACATCATATCCACCCTCTGCTTTGGATAGTCACAGCCTCTCTTTCTGGGCTGAGAGGATCCTTCCAGACTCACGTCTACACATCCCGGTAGCCACAATGACAGGACTTCAGGTGTCTTGTGTGCAGCCGCTCTACCCTACCACTAGGCTTTTGCCCACGCATTTGGGAGTTTTGGTGGCGTAGTGCCTAAGGCATTTGACTGCTTACCAGAAGACTGGTGGTTCAAACCCACCAGCCACTCCTCGGAAGGAAGATGGGCCAATCTACTTCTGTAGTGGTGTTGTGTTGTTGTTATGTGCCGTGGAGTCGGCCCCAACTCATAGCGACCCCTCCTTGGGTTTCCGAGGCAGTATCACTACGGAAGTAGGATTGCCCAACCTTCCTTCCGAGGAGTGGCTGGTGGGTTTGAACCGCCAGCCTTCTGGTTAGCAGTCAAGTGCTTTAGCCACTATGCTACCAGAGCTCCTACTGCCTCAGAAACCGAAGGAGGGGTCTCTATGAGTCGTATTCGACTCGACGGCAGTTGAGTTGTTTTTTGCAGAGTTTCTCCTGCTTGAAGCACTCTTTCCAGTTGTCACCTACCATTTATCTCATTCCTCTTTGTCCTTTTGGTCACAATAGTGTTTCCTTTGTGAAGCTTTCCTGAGGCATTGGGTTGTGTGCACTACCTTGACATTTACACTTCTTACGAGCTCTAGTAGCATAGTGCCTAAGGCACTTGACTGCTAACCAGAAGGCTGGTGGTTCAACCCCCCCAGCCACTCCTCAGAAGGAAGGTTGGGCAATCTACTTCCGCAGTGATACTGCCTCGGAAACCCAAGGAGGGGTCGCTATGAGTTGGGTCCAACTCAACCGCACATAACAACAACACCAACAAACTCCCTCTGCAGTGTAAAGGTTGTATCATTGCCCTGGCCGTGATACTGGGAGATTCTATGTATTAGTTAGCCAGTGCTGCTGTAACAGAAATACCACAGGCTGATGGCTGTAAAGGACAAAAATACATTTTTTCAGAATTTCAGGAGCTAGACACAACAGCTTTTGGGGAAGGTTCTTTCTCTGTCTGGTCTTGGGAATATCCTTGCCCTTTTCAGCTTCTGTAGCCCAACACTCTGACTCATCATGCCCCCAAGTGTTACAGTGCAGAATTGCGCCATAGGTTTTCGTGGCTGTTATCGTTATGGAAGCAGATCAGCAGAGTGGATTCAAACCTGCAGCCTTTAAGATAACTGCCCATTGCAAACCACTTCCACCACCCAGGGACATTTGCACCCGTTAGGTCTCAATAAATGCTCATTGAATGAGTAAGTCAAGGTTCCCAACATCTAATGAATTCCAAAATGTTCTCTGCCTCAGCTCCTACAGGTGATGGCTATACTTAGTTCACTGGTCGTGCTGTGGCCCAGAGTCCCAGGCAACACTGCCATTACTATGACCAAAATGGACATCTTTCTCTTCTTCCCCTAATGCAGCTGCTGAACCTGCCCTGGTTCCATTCACCCTGAACTTCACAATCACCAACCTGCGCTACACAGATGCCATGGGACACCCAGGCTCCGTAAAGTTCAACTTAACTGAGAGAGTCCTGCAGCGCCTGGTCAGAACCCCATGATGACCACTTACCAGACCACTCCACACCTTCCCCCATAGTCTCTCAGCCCCTTGGATCCTCCTGCTTACTTCCCTCTCTTTTCTCACTAGCTTGGACCCCTGTTCAAAAAGACCAGTGTCGGCCCCCTCTACTCTGGTTGCAGACTGGCCTGGCTCAGGTGAGACCCTTGGATGGAGCAATTCAGCAGGTTGGGTGGACCTTCATGCACAGGCTCCATTTTTGTGACTCCCAGCTCCACATTACCACTTCATGCCCTCTTCATAGCTAAGTGCCCAGGAAGGTCAATGCTTAGAGACAAGTAACCATGCTTACAGTTTATAGGCTCTGGAGGATATTTTGTTATAAATGAGGGCTCTCCTCTTAGAAGTGAGTAACCACTGCATCCTATCTGTAAATACTAAGAATAATGTTTTCTGTCCCCAGTAATGAACATGTTCCTCAGATGAGAGACATCTTTTCAACCTCAGATGTAATTTCTTCAGCATCCTCTTCAGCCTCTTCCCCTCAGTTCTCTTCCTTTTCACAACTGGAATGCTCAGAGCCCCTTCTTGGTGTTTTCTTATCCCCATATCCCCATACCCTTCCTCTGCAGGCCTGAGAAAGGCAGAGCAAGCACTGGAGTGGACGCTGTCTGTACCTACTACTCTGACCCTGAGGGTCCTCAGTTGGACAGAGAGCAGCTATACTGGGAGCTGAACGAGTTGACTCATGGCATCAACAGACTGGACTACTACAGCCTAGACCGGCATAGCCTTTATGTCAACGGTAAGGTGATGTGCTGCAGCCAGAGTCTGTCTCCCATTTGGAGCCTTGTGTTTTTCAAGGCTCTGAGGAAAGCCTTCATCTCCCCAGAGTGAGCGTTAATCTATCTTTTCCCTATCTTGAGTCTGGGTTCCATCTCCATTATGATGAATCAAAGCTCTAATGAGGATAATGCCAGGGTCCAGACACTTTATCCTCATAGACAGGTTGCATCTTCCCTGAACATCCCCCCACTGCCTCTTCCCTCTACTTTTCTTGCAGAGATTCCTAATCTTCTCTTTCCCTTAACCTTTTACTTAATGTTTTCAAGGTATATCCATGTCGTCACATATATCAGGACTTCATTTCTCCCTATGGTTGAGTCATATTCCATTGTAGGAACAAACCACATTTTGTTTACCCATTCATCTGTTGATGGACATTTAGGTTGGCTCAACCTTCTGGCTATTGTGAATAGGGCTGCAGTGAATGTTCATGTTTTTTCTTATCCTTTACATGCACCCTAACTTTCTTCAGCTCTTCTTCCCCTATCTCTGCAGGTTACACTTATGGAGCCTCAGCCTCAACCACCACCTGTGAGTATTTCTGGTCTTGATTTCCTGGGTCCCAGCCCCACTTTGGTGAGGGAGCGGGTTCTCCTTTGCATCCTATCTTCAGTGAGGGAAGCATCTGGACGGGCCCCTAGTTTACATCCCTTCCTTCTCCTGGCTCCTGGGAGAATCCTAGCCCAGGGTAAGAAGGCCTGCACACGTTTTCATTTTAATACTTAAAACGTGCCCAGTTATTCTCAATTCTTATCCTTTTTTCTAAAAATAATCTTTCTCCTTTTATTTTCTAAGTTATTTTCATTGTAGCAAAACAATACATTATAAAACGTTTATTAATTCAACAATGTTTACATATACAATTCAGTGACATTAGTACATTCATCATGTTGGACAACCATCACAAAGGTACTTTTCCCAATTATTCCACCACCATTAACAGGAACTCAGTTCCCCTAAGCAATGACTCCCCCTTCTTCTCTCCTTTCCACTCTTGGTAACCACCAATAAGTTTTGGTTTCTATGTATTTGCCTATTTCATATAAGTGGGATCATATAATATTTATCCTTTTGTGACTAACTTAGCATAATGTTTTCAAAATTCATTCACATTGTAGCATGCAATAGCACTTCATGTCTTTTTGTGGCTACATACTATTCTATTGTATGTGTATAGTGCATTTTGTTTATCTCTTCATCTGCTGATGGACAGTCAAGTTGTTTCCATCTTTTGGCTATTGTGAATGGTGCTACAAAACGTTGATGTTCTTATCCTTTAATTTATATCTTGTTCTGAGACTTTTTAACATCACTATTGCACCTATTGTGGTTGAGTTTTCAGCTAACATTTCTTGAAACCAATGACCAGTCAGACATCATGCTAAGATAGTTGCATATTTTCTTTAATCCTCAGCACAACCATGCAACTTAGCTCCATTTTACAGAAGAGGAAACTCAGGTTCAAAGAGGCTGAGTCTCCTGTCAAGGCCACACAGCAAATAAATAATAGAAACAGAATTTCATGTACTCATTGTCTAACCCTCCACACTATTCACCTGTTAATTTATTCATTCCAAAGGACATCCTGATTTCCTTATGTTCAAATTCAAGGGCTACACTCCCTTTGCATCCCCAGAAAAGCCTGTGATGAGGACCTTGTTAGTTTTCAAGAGTTAATTGCCCTACATTCAGACTGTGTTTACTAAACCCTGTCAAACTCTCCTTAGGTCCATCACTGGTCTCTTACATCTTATACTCCATCACTGTCTCTCACCATAGCAGGAGTATGGGCCGCTGAGGTGCATTAACAACTATCATTTTCCAAATGATAAGGGGAAAATAAGTCAATATCAGCCTCCTATGAATAAGGCCTGTGTTTTGTTTATCATTGTCTCTACATCCCTCATAATATTTCCCAGAAGATCATAAGGCCAAGTCAGTATGTGTGGAAGGAAGGAAGGATGGATGTATAGACAGTGGGAAAAAAGATGAATAGAAGAAAAGAAAAATGCGTGGAGGAAAAGAAGGCAGAAGAGAGGGGGAAAGAAGGGATGAAGGAAGGATAGCTGGATAAGATGGGTGGGTCAGTGGAAGAAAATAAAGAAGAATGGAGGTGTGGAAGGATGGACAGAAGGGTGAACGGAAGGAAGTATGAATGGAAGGAAAGAAGGAAGGATGGAAAGAAGGAACGCTAGTTGGATGAGAGGAAGGAATGGAAGGAGAAAAGGAAGTATGGACAAGATGCATGGAAGGAGGTACAAATAGAAGGAAAGAAAGAAGGAAGGAAAGACTAATGGATGGAAGAAGAGAAAAATACAAGGAAGGAAGGAAGGGGGGGGTGGGGAAGGATACCTGGAAGGAGAAATGAATGAGAGGAAGGAAAGAGGAGGGAGGAAGGGAAGATGGGAAGGTTGGCAAGTTTTCTTCCACAGGTTTGTCTTAAACATTTAGCCCTGCACCACTTGTCTGTTCTAGAGTAAAGTCACAAGGACTCTGGTCTCAGCTGTACCATGTGTTCACTGATGCTACTTCCTGTGGGGTTCTGCACATTTGCTCCATTTTTGTGAACTGCCTTAGCTGCATACGTCTGAGGAATCACACAGCAGGGAGGTTAAGGGCATGGACTCTGCAGTTGGAGAATCTGGGTCCAAACTTAGACTCGCTCTCCCTCCAGCCATGTGACCCTAGGCAAGATTCCCTTTCTGGGCTTTGGTTTCCTCTTTCATTAGATGTGGACAATTCTAGTACACAGCTCACATATATCCATTTAAAAAGTGAACTCTCAAAGTGTTCACTTATGTATTTTGCATAATAAACACTGTACTAAGCATTTTACAAAGATTAACCTGTTTAAGCCTCATAATAAACTTTTAAGTAAGAATCACTATTATCCCATTTTCCAAATAAGTAAATTGACATGTGGAGAGTTTGGTGTGACTATTATGATTTTTGTTGTTGTTGTTAATGTCATTATTATTAACCAATGTATATAAGAAAAACCACTGCCATCAAGTCAATTCTGACTCATAGTGATCCCCAAAGGGTTTCCAAGGCTGTGAATCTTTATGGAAGTAGATTGCCTCATCTTCCTCATGCAGAGCAGCTAGTGGGTTTGAACCACCAACCCTTTGATTAGCAGCCAAATGCCTTAACCACAGCACCACCAGATTTGTTATACCTGACTATAAGGGCAGGGGAGAGAGGAAGAGAGAGAGAAATAGGGAGAGAAAGAGAGAGGCAGAGAGGCAGACAGAAACTCAGAAAGAGACACACAGAGATAGAGATTGGGAGCAGAGAGAACATGAGTGAAAATATCTGGGGTCTTTGACCCTTGCGTGACAGCAGAGAGTTTGGTTTTGTCAGTGTGTCAGGACTGAGCCTCTCCTTCTGGGAAAAACAAAGCTATTAGTATTTTCATTGAGTTCTTCCCTCCTACATAGGGGTAAAAAGGGCCCATCTCAATGCCCCAAATCACCAAGCACCCCCTTCCTGATTTCCTGCTGGAGTCCCTGGGTGGTGCAGATGGTAATGCACTTGCCTGCTAACCACAGGTTGAGGGTTCAAATCTACCCACAGGTACCTTGGAAGAAAGGCCTAGTGATCCACTTCTGAAAATTTAGCCATTGAAGACCCCACGGAGAACAGTTCTACTCTGACACACACAGGGTCCATGGCAACAGGTGTGGTTTTTTACTTCCCTGTTGGAGTTGTCTCCATTAACTAGTGATCTTCAGGCAGATTCTGAGGAGGACAGGAGAACCTTTGAAGCCCCTCCCTGAGCCTGGCCTCTCTCCTCTGCCACAGCCGGGGAGGTCAGCAAGGAGCTGTTCACCCTGAACTTCACTATCAACAATTTGCGCTACTCAGCTGACATGGGCCACCCCGGCACCCACAAGTTCAACATCACAGACACCCTCATGCGGCACCTGGTGAGAGGCAGTTTTCCCTACCTGCCCCTCCAGTGCCCAGCCCAGCACTCCTGCCTGTATCTGACCAGAACTGGCTTCCTCCTTCCCTTCCAGCTCAGCCCCTTGTTCCAGACAAGCAGCCTAGGAGCTCGATACACAGGCTGCAAGGTCACTGCACTAAGGTGAGATCCCTATCTCCTTCCAGCCCATCCCCTCCTCTCTGCCACTGCTGAGGAATTTTGGGTTCTAACCTCTGATTGTGGGGGCCACCCAGGCTGAGTGTGGGCTCTCCATGGAGGGCCTCTTCAGCATCCATTTTTCCTCTCATGCATCTGGGTCAGATTGAGCTCTGTTAATATTTATAAAGCATAGTCCCTGTTGCTGTTGTTAGGTGCCATCGAGTCAGCTCTGACTCAAAGTGAGACTACGTACAACAGAACAAAACACTGCTTGATCCCACACCAGCCTTACAATCCCTGCTGTACCTGAGCCCACTGCTGCAGTCACTGTGTCAATCCATCTCGCTGAGTGCCTTCCCCTTTTTCACCCACCCTCCACTTTACCAAGTATGACCAAAGTAGGTGATGAGAATGGGAGATGAAGTCTGCCCGTTCTCGCTTCCAAGGAGCTGCGCTTCTTCCAGAACAGATCTGTCCTTCTTCTGGTTGTTGTTGTTGTTGTTATGTGCCGTCGAGTCGGCCCCGACTCATAGCGACCCCTCCTTGGGTTTCCGAGGCAGTATCACTACGGAAGTAGGATTGCCCAACCTTCCTTCCGAGGCTTCTTCTGGTAGTCCATGGTATTTTCAGTACTCTACACCAACACCACAACTCAAAAGCATCAGATCTTCTTTGGTCTTCCTTATCTCTTGTCCAGTTTTCATATGCATGTGAGGCAATTGAAAACACCATGGCTTGGATTAGGCACACCTTAGTCTTCAAAGAGGCATCTTTGCTCTTCAGCACTTGAAAGGGATTTTTTTGCAGCAGATTTTCCCAGTGCAATTCAACATCTGATTTCTTGACTGCTGCTTCCGTTGGTGTTGATTGTGGAAACAAGTTATAGGAAATCTTTGACAACTTCAATCTTTTCTCCATTTATCATGGTGCTGTTTAATAGTCCAGTTGTGAGGATTTTAATTTTCTTTATGTTGAGGTGCAATCCATAGTGTAGTCTTTAATCTTCATCAGTAAGTGCTTCAAATCATGTACACTTTCAGCAAGCAAGTTTGTGTCACCTGCATATTGCAGGTTGTTAATGAGTCTTCCTCCAATCCTAATGCCACATTCTTCTTCATATAGTCTAGCTTCTCAGATTGTTTGCTCAGCATAAGATTAAATAAGTATGGTGAAAGGATACAACCCTGATGCACTCCCTTCCTGATTTTAAAATGTGCAATATCCCCTTGTTCTGTTTGAACAACAGCCTCCTGGCCTACGTACAGGTTCCTCATGAGCACAATTAAGTGTCCTGGAATTCCCATTTTTCTCAATATTATCCCTAAATTGTTATGATCCACACAGTCTAATGCTTTGGCATAGCCAATGAAACACAAGTAAACAACTTCTTGGTATTCTTTGCTTTA